CGCGCCTGGGAGCCGCGCCGCGCGCCGCGAGGGAGCCGCCGCCGCCGCCGCCGCCGCCGCCGGAGACCGACGCGCCGGACATTCCCAACGTCGAGCCCAAGCTGGTCGAGATGATCATGAACGAGATGCTCGACCGCTCGCCGGGCGTCGATTGGGACGATATTGCAGGCCTGCACTTTGCGAAGAGGTGTGTCATGGAGGCCGTGGTTTGGCCCATGCAGAGACCGGATATCTTCACTGGCTTGAGGGGACCGCCGAAGGGTTTGCTGCTGTTCGGCCCGCCCGGCACTGGTAAAACGCTTATTGGAAGGGCCATCGCAAGCAAGTCTGGTGCAAAGTTCTTCAACATTTCCGCCAGTAGCTTGATGAGTAAGTGGGTGGGGGAGGGCGAGAAGATGGTCCGCGCTTTGTTTGCTGTCGCCAGGGAGTTTCAGGTACGTTGATACTGATGAACACCGCTATGATTTGCGAGCGGAGGAAATACTTTTTGTTTTGTTTTGGCGACTAACAGTTTCCCCCCTTTCCTTTGTCATTGCGTGTAGCCGAGTGTCGTCTTCATTGATGAGATTGACAGTCTCTTGACACAGCGGACGGACGGAGAGCAAGAATCTACTCGTCGTGTCAAGACCGAGTTCCTTGTTCAAATGGACGGTGCGGGGACATCTCGCGAAGACCGTGTGCTCGTCGTTGGCGCAACTAATCGCCCGCAAGAGCTAGACGAGGCCGCGCGACGCCGTTTGGTGAAGCGACTTTACATTCCTTTACCCGATACCGAGGCGCGTTCGTCGCTAGTTGGGCGCCTATTGCAAAAGCAAACAAACTCCCTCAACGAAACCGATGTCCGAGGCGTGGCTCAGTTGACGGCTGGGTATTCCGGGTCGGATATCTACGCTGTTTGCGCAGAGGCTGCTCTGGGGCCTGTAAGAGAGCTCGGGGAATCCATTGGGAGTGTCGATGTTGACAAGGTGCGGCCGGTCGCCAAGAGGGACTTTGAGATCGCCGTCAGGATGGTGCGTGCGTCTGTTTCGAATAGGGATCTGGAGGGGTATGCGACGTGGAATGAGTCGTATGGTTCGTTTCCCTCGACTGATCCTTCTGCTGGGAAGACGACGCCGCCGCCAACAACTGCTGGGGCAACAGCCCCTGAGCAGTAGCACTGGTCAGTGCTGTACACTGTCGCCATTTCCTTGTCACGTTCTGGTGCCGTGTCATTCTCTAAAGGCGACTCAAGGTGGGCATTATTTGCAGGTGTTCCGTGGGGGAGTTGCAGGACAGTGGTACGCAGTTAACTTGGACCGATGTCTTCGTGTCTCGCAGGTGCAGGACTTGGCGCTCCCTGGAGAAGTGGGGGCTGATTTGGAAAAATATCTCCATCCGAGGAGGCCCGTTTGGGTTTCGCAAAAGGAGCACCGCAAGATTTTTCCCCGTTTATGACCAATGGCTGATGGTGCGACAGCGATGTGTTTTCCAAATCTCGTCGTGAACTTGGGAGCATTCCTGCTCAGTAACTGATCTCTTACCGCCAGAGAAATTCGAGGACTGGCACTAACCATCGACGGTTCCTCTTACGTGCTCCTGTCCCCAGATGATGCGAGACCACAACAACGCTGCTTCGTTTCATTCCAGCACCCAGGTCTGCGTCTTCCCCATGTCGACACTAGCATTCGCAGGCTCCCTGAGCCATCTTCCGCTCGCTCGACCGTCGCTGTTTTGTCGCACCTCCACAACCCTGCAACGACGGCCTCGCGCTGTGCAGCGTCAATGTCCCCAATCCATCCGAGCACATCTGGTGCGCGCCAATGAACCTCACGACAATAGCATACTCGAATCATTTGCTGAGAAGATCCGCGGAGAGTGGGATGGATATGAGGGAAACTTCGACTCCGGAACAGGTGCACCAGAAGCTGTCCCAGATTACTACATTCCGGACCAGTTCGTTGAATGGGGCATCGTCCCTCTTGGCTTCGAGTCTACTCACTCCGTCATCGTTCGCGGCACCAAGCTTTACAGAAAGTTTTTCCGCGTGCTCCCTTCCGTAAGCCTGTTTGCAGACCACGTGGATTTGGAGGAAGACTTTCAACAGCTTGATATCGCCGCAGAAGCAGGTGCGCATGTTTTTCCGGACGGGTCCTTCGCCACGGGCCCTGAGAAAGTCTGCATCAAGAGGGAATCGTTGCTTGACAAATGGCCGATGGCCGAAATGTGCCTGCACGACCCGCGCGAGGACGTGCGAAATGCTCTGCACGTCAAACTGAAATTCGATTTTGAGAAGCGGGAACTGGTCGACTCGTTGCGGGCTGTGGTGGAAAAGTGGAGCTGTGTGTACTGCGACGGGGCCAACATCGAGGGGAGTTCCGGCTTTGTGAAAGGGTGGGTCTCGGATGATCCGTCGCATCCGAGTGCGCTCGCCGGGAGCTGGAAGGCGGTCAGCGCGGGCGACGAACAGATCGTGGACAGGGCAGCGCCACAGAGTGTCCCGAGCAAGCATCTGTTCCTGCCAAACGGCATCGACGTCGCGGTACTCGAGGGAGATGGCGTGCACGTGCAAGTCGGATGGCTCGTCGACGAGGCGACGCGCGTCGTGATGAGGCGCAGCTTTGGACAAGATGGGAGCGTAGTAAGCTCGCAGCGTATTGTCGAGCATCGAGTTTAATGTTGTGGCTGGAAGGCGTAATCAACTGCAGCGGTCGACGACTGCTGAAGCATAGCAGTCAAGCCCATGGCCAGCCTGGCCCCTTCCCACCAGATGCGCCACTAATAAACCCCCGCCCCCGGTCCCCCAACACCCCACCTCCTCCAACCCCGTCGTCCACATCCCTTAGAGAAAATCTATTCAATCGCCGGGGTTCCACCACTCTCCCCCTGCCTCCCCTGCATGTCCTCATTCGCGGCCGAAATCGTTGTCACCACGAGCCGAGTGCTCTGCCCGAGTATTGCGCTCTCCAACGTCGTCCGGGGCTTATCCCTCTGGCTCAAGCTCTGCTCCAACTGAATCCTCTTGATATCATACCCCATCCTGACGGCATTGACAATATTGCCAACAAACTCATCCATACCATCCTTGCCTTCTGCCTCAACGCTTCTCTTAGCCGGGTATCCCAAAACCCGCAGCGTCTTATACACCAGGCTGAGCCATACCGCGCGCAGCTCGACCTCGTCGCTCTGCAGTGCGCGCAGGGCCTGAGCGGACGCGCCCGACGTGGCGAGCTCCATCTGGAGGGCCTGCAGCGAGTAGCCCTCGCGGTACGCGGCGAGGGCGGTGTCGCAAAACTCACGCAGCGCAGTGGCGTACGGCTTGCGCCCAGGCGAGCACGCGTCGATGAAAGCCGACGCGAGGCGGTGCGCCAGCGAGGGCGACGGCGCGCCCGCGTCGCAAAGCACCCACCGTGCGCGCCGCGCCGACTGCCGCAGTGGGGGCGGCGACCTGCAGACAAGCGCCGACCGCGAGGGGCGCGCTGAAAACGTTAAGGGGGGGATAAAGCCGCGCATTGTGAGGCTACGGCCCGCGGATGCGCGCCGATGATGGTGAGGTGTATGGGCGGAGAGATTGTTGCGGGATGTGCGGAGATGGGCGCAAATGAGATGAAACGAGGGCAAATTTGGCGTTTTGGGAGCCCGTTTTCTTCATCTGATGAGAGTGCAGACTATCCCTGTCGCGCGATGAGACCTGTGAAGCGATTTGGTCGTTCGGATGCAAGACGCGGGAGATAGTTGTTGTTTGCATTGTATGGCAGATGTGTCTGGCAATCGGTGACAGCTTTACAAAACTTTACTTGCATACCATGGTTCACGCGAGCTTCCATGATGGCTTGCGCACCCGCCTGGTGCGCGACCCTGACGACCCGTCAAGTTCAAGCTCTTCCACCCCCATCTCCTCACCATACCCATTCACCTCGCCCAGTACACCTTTCCTTCCCACTCCGCGCCCACCGTCCCCCATCGCCGCACTGTTGGCGGCCTCTTCGTCGATCCCCTCTACCGGCGGTCCTCGCCGCGCCGCGCTCTCCTTGACGTCCGGTTCTCCCCACTCCTCTTCGCGCGACATGGCCCTGCGCACGGCCCCCCCTTCGCGCACGCGCAACCGCACAGGCACCCGTGTCACCGGCTCCGCCTCGCCTTCGGAGTCTGTTAGCGCGACGGGCTCTGCAATGCGCAGCATGAGCTTGACCGACCTCTTGCGCGGTGCGCGCCTTCCGCGCGGCGGCCCGACGTCCTCGTCTAGCGCTGCCCGCCGCGTCCGCGTCCGCGCGCTCCGCCGCGGCGGCGTGTCGCCCGAGGGCGCCCGCACCCGCAGACGCACCGCTTGCTCCGCCCTTTGCGCCCGGACGCGCACGCGGCAGCGGCAGGGGTGTGACGCGCCGGGATAGTCGCCCGGTTGCAGAGGTTGCACGTGCGCGTCCTGCACGGGCACGGAGTCGCTCCGCTGCCGCTTCCTGGCTGGTTCGGTGGCCGCGTCTTCCTTTGTCGACTTGGAGATCGTCGCGGCAGGTATTCTGTCTCCAGTGGGAACCAGTGAGGAAGGGCCCTTCTGCGTTGTCTCGGAGGGGTCTAGCTTGCCATCGGGAGATGCCGTGGCGGTAGGCATGGAGGACTCGTCGTCTTTTTGGGCGACTGTGTCGTTTGTTGCAGCCCCGTTCTCCTGTCCGACCCTCTTCTGCTTTTGCTCCCCAGCCGCGCCCACTGCCAGTTTGCTGCCTTGCGTGACCGGTGTCTGGCCTGTGATGGGCGGCGGCAGCATCTTGCCAACGTCTGGCCACGGCGTCGCGTGCTGCGGCGGGCTTGAATGCGCGATCTGCATGTCGTGGTCGACAGCGCTGTCGCCGGCGTGGGGTGCGGTTTTGGCGGCTGCGTGCAACGGTAGGGCTGGACGGTTGAGTGGCGAGCGGCTGCGGGCGGTCTCGCCAATTTTCGCGACTTTGATGCGACCCCTGGCGCGATTCGAATTTGCAACTGTCGTTTTCGGAATCGCCGCCTTCCCGGTCTCTTCCCGCGCATTTTTGCCCAGCACCTCTCCTGCTCCTACGCGTGTGTCTGCTGCACGCGGAGGCGCGGTTGCATTCTCCTCGGAGAGGTTCGGTTTAGTGTTGGGCGCCGCGTCAAGGCTGCCCCCGCGTCTAGCAGGAGTGCTTGAGATTTCCTGGCGACGTGTGCGAGGTGAACGTCTGGTGGCGACGCCCAGTGCCTGCGCCTCGGCTCGCGCGCGTTTTGTAGATGCCTTTGACATTGTAGCTTTCCCGCTCGCGTTCTGCGCTTGGATAGACTCGTCGTTAAGATGCAAAGCCTCCGTGTCTTCGTCAGCGGCTTCTTTTCCGTTTTGTGCTTCCACTTGCAGATGCTCTTTCGCGCTCACGGATGTCCTTCTGACTTCAGCGGGACCCAGTGCTCCTAAACCGGGGGGTTTGTCATCCTTGGACATGACCTGCTGCTCGACGGCCTTGTCTGTGATGGGCTTGTCTTTGGCGTTCCGGACGGTTCCTTGGATGACTTTTTCTGGCTTGCTTTCCATTTCCGTGTCGTCTCCCCTATCTGTAGCGTGCACGTTCTTTCCCATGTCGTTAGCAGTTCCTATCTCCTCGCCCATCGTGACTCCCTCATTTGAGAGACTATCAGACTGGCCCATATGCGTCTTATTCGCGCTGTCTGAGGATTTAAGATCAGCTTCGTCTGAGCCCTTCTTCGCCCGTCCACGCTTTCTCCTTGGTTCAGTAGCCACTTGAGCAGTTCTGGGGCTGCTGCGTCTGCGTTTTGGAGAGCTCGGTTTTAGAGGAGAAGTCTCGCGTGATGGCCCCGCGACCAATCCTGCCGCGTCTGTCGAGTAACTTGCAGGTGGGGTCGGTATTCGCGTAGTGCTTGTCGGAGAGGTTTTCTCTGGCAGAGTACGCACCACTGGAGATTCTGATTCTGCAGTGCCTAGCGCCCGACTCGCTGATGCTGTGTCGGACATGTTCATGCTCGACATTCCAGCCGATTGCAACAGCACTGTGGGTATCTTTCGCGGTCGTCCCCTTTTCCGTGGTGGTTTGGTGGCGCTACTACTCGTAGGGGTTTGTTGGTATGCGTGCCGGATGCGTGCGTCCCTCTTGTGAGCGTCCAGCGACAACGGCACCCAAGTCACAAGTCCTCCGGATATACCCACAGCCAGAATGTCACTGGGGACGGATAAACTTGTGCGAGTTACTCCGGCCAGCTCCTTGTACTGTGCGCCGAAACGGGAATATGCATCTGCTAATCCTTCTCGACCAACCGTTCGTGATCGTTTCGGCTTGCGGGAAGCTGACGAAGTAGAAGTTTCCTGCAGCAGAGTATCCACCAAGGTGCCACCCAAGCCCCCGTTTTCCGTGTCAAGTAGAGAACCATGGCTCAACTCTTGTCCGCCAGAAGCTAGGCTATTCCGCAGCTGTAATCGTAGGGTCCTTATTTCTTCGCCTCCTTCTTTGATCTCAGTGGTCTGAGTCCATCGTAGTCTCTCTCCTACTTGCGTTTTCCCAATCTCGCATTCGTTGGCAGATGTCCAGATAGGCCGCGGGAACTTGCATTCGTGCAGCATACCGTCAGCTCCCCCTGTATAGAACAATGTCTGAGAACAGGAGTCTGCTTCTTGCCCAGATATTGGAACAGAGCACATGTCCCGAAATGATCCGCTCTGCAGTCGCACTCGCTTGACGGAACGCTGCGGCATCATACCATCCACACCGCTGAGACGCACTACTCGTAGATATCCGTAGTCACCGCCGATGATAGCGACGTTCGGTTCCGGGGCATCCATGCTCATGCTCCCACTGAGCCCTTCCATGTTCTGTTCCAAAGTGGAGACGGGGTCGCGTATATCGCGCAAACGAAGCACGCACGACAGACCCAAGCTGCACAAATGTGTTTCAGACAGCCATCGAAGATCGACCACCACAGACTCATGGCCGGGAATAGACCACCTCGGCCATGTTCGGTCAACGGATGTGGCATCATAGACCTCAATGCTTCCATCTGCACACCCTACAACTAGGAGATTGCCTTCCTTCGACCACTCGACAACTCTCACGGGGCTTCGACTCGCGATACTCTTGTTGACACGTAACAGCGTCGATGTGGGATAGAGTGTCTTGATAGCGTCTTTCTCTGCACCATGTGAAACCTTCGTAAACGAATCGATTTTGCTCACAAGGACCGTCCCATCACCAAGAGCGGCAGCTAACGTGCCCTCCCACCCTGTGCTCCCATCCCTCTGCGACTGCTCTGGCCTCCATTTTAAGTCCCAAACGCACTCACCGTTATGTTCAACGAGGCCAAGACACCTCGTGTCATTTTCAGCAAATCTCCAGAGTTGAATATGCCCAGAGCCTGCATAGCACTTCAGAATTCTGTGAGTTGGCTGGTCGCTGCGGTGCGCGGCAACTGCGCAAATACCTTTCGCCCATGGATGGAAACTCAGGGCGCTTACAGAACCCCCGACGTACGCAATTCTTCCCCTTCCGCTCGGCAGCACACGGCTTTCGAAAAGTGATAAGCGTCCGTGTTTGTGCAATTGTTCATGGCCGGCTTCCGCGACATCAACGCAGTCTGAAAAGGCGCGCAACTCCGGGCAGACGGCTTTCGAATTCTTCTCCATCACCGCCAGATTCATGTAGTTGTTGACGGCCCAGCGCTTACAACCATTTACTCGCTCGGTTGCAACCAGGATGACGGTGGTTTTAAACTTAAGAAGTGAGGACTAACCCAAGGACTCTTTTTGCAAATATCAAAAAAACAGAATGGCGGTGAAAAGGGACTGATGAAAAAGGCAAAAAATCAGTACGACATAAGAGTCACCTAGAAGGAAGAGCGTTTGTCTCCCCCGCCTACACATGATGTAGTCCGAGACGTTTACCCACTGCGAACCCCTTTTACAATCCAGTTTTAGGGAAGAAACCAAACAGAGCGCCACGATGAGGGTCCCCCGAGGCATCAGCACGGACTTGATTCAGTACTTTCATGGATGGATTGGTCGGATCCCTGTAGCTGGAAGATCGCAAGGTCCCGCACGCCTTCAACACAGACCTGGTTTCGTACCACTGTAGAAGAGATTCGCAAATCCCTGCGATCGAAGGGAAGACACAAAAGTGCATTGGGCATGTTACAGGATGCAATGAATAACTCAGGCGTTGCTCGTTTACTCTTCCACTATCAAAATACGGTACAAGACATACGCATATAGTTCCTCCTGACTTAAAACGTCTACAACAGTAGCCATTCGATAAAAACGCAACACGTTCGAGCACTAGCTCAGAACCCGGAAGCGTTGGTTACAAAACAAGCAAGTAGGGCGGTCGGATGGAACTCATCTTCCCCCTGTCTGTACACGCCTCGACTCTGAGAAAAACTCAAAATGTTATGGTTGCCTTCCGCACTGGAAAGCCCTTCATTTGTAGCTTCTACGTTTGATGAGCGGTTTGATATCGCCCTCCATGAAGCTGATGTCAGGCTCACATGACCCGTCAATGTAGTAGCTAGCAGTTTCTGTTTCCTTGCGCTTGCATGTCTGAAGTGAACAGTATGAGATGTACGGGATCGGCCCAGCTTGTGTGATTCCGCGAACGGTAAATTCACATGATATGCCGTGGCCCACAAGCAAAATTGCTCCAGAAAATTTCTCTGAAAGAAGGCGTGCCGTCCTTCCTGCTCGTTCGATGAGAATATCCCTCGTTTCCGGATAGTTAGGTTCAACAAGGGAAGTATAAGAAATATCCACTAGTGGGAAGCTCTTCTTCAGTTGTCCAAGTGGTTGCAGTCTTGGCATAGCCTCAAACCATTCCGGATTCAGAAACTCACAGATGCCAGCCTCAACCTTTATTGGGAGTCCAGTCAGTTTTGCCACTTCATTAGCGGTCTGCACGGTGCGATAGAAAGGGCTTGCAAATATATGTGTGAGCCCAGTCCCAGCTAGCTTTTCCCCCAGAGCCCTTGCTTGACGGATACCAGTTTCTGTGAGAAAGGCGTCGTATGGATTCTCAGCAGTATCACGCCAACTGCGATCGACATGATCTATTCGTTCCCCATGACGAGCCACAAAAACCGTTGATGCTAATGTCATGTTTTCCACAGCCAGTGTCGAGAGGTTCCTTACCGATAATAAGAGTCGAATTTTCACGAGACGGCCTGCCTACATCTGCACGAAGGATCCGCACTGAACACTAGTGATATAAGTTTGGGAGGGAATTTCCTGGATTTTGAGAGTCTTTTGTGGGGCCGCAAACGACATATTGCTGAGTCATGCGAGGTTCGCAGGTTTTGGATCAAATCCTGCCGGTCTTGGTCCCTCGTGTGAAAATTGTCAAAATCATTTCGACCGTCCTCAACTCGGTGACTCGTCCAGCTCATCCTCGCATCGCTTCCAGCAACAACGCTCGGCAGTGCTCCACTATTCATATTTCTTAAAATTTCGCCGCACTTGTTGGCCACAACTGTCCAGGACTTGCGCGTTTGGAATGAAATGCATTGTCTGCAGCCATGACGTGGCCATTATGTTTACAAGCAACACGGAAGTCTGTGAATTGTCGCCGTTCCAGAGTGTTAAATCACCTATCTGAAGTAGCTGCAGTGTTGTGATAGCCAAGCGGATTCAAAGCTGACGACTGTGCGGAGGTACCGTTTCGTGGTAACCACGTACTCGTCGTAGATCACAAACGGTGGATTTCTCCGTGATCTGAGGGCTCTGAGGGATGAACTGGGGTGGATATCCAGTCGCCTCACAGCCAACTCATCTGAGTCACTAGCTGCACTGCCGAGTCCCATTGGTATGTAAGTTCCGCTCTCACGACTTTTTTTTGCAGTTTGCCGAAAAAATCCTGCAACCAGACACCGCCTCACGAGCTCCTCTATGCCAGCATGTTCAATGTCCGCTGCAAGGGAGGCAGAAAGGGGATTAGATAGGCCCCATGAGACCATGGCGCCCAGATCTAGGATGTGACTGAGTTGGACTCGAATGCTCTCGGCTGATACCAGCGTGCGATAATTCAGAAAATGGTCTCGACAAAACTCTTTTCGTCTAGCAGCTCCATCCAGAGGTAAAAAAGCATTCAAAACATTCAATAACGTCAGATGGTCTCCGTAGATGCTCAAGAAACGCCTATGTGCCGCTTTAGCTTTGTCGCGTTTTGCAGTTGGAGACATCAATATGGCCCCTTCCACGCTCAAAACAGCAGCTACACCGATCATGGACTCGACGCACCCAACTCGAAGAGATTCAAGAAGACAGCGCGCCAACATCGGTGGGACTGGTAAGCGTGACATCAATACCCCAGCATTTGTCAGCTTCAGAGACTTGTCTACTGCGCCGAGAAGAATGAGATTTTCCACAGCACTGATCATAAATGGCTGCGGAATCCTATCAAGTAAAGGAAAACGTGTGACCTCGGCACCCGGTTTCAGTTTCTTGATTTTCTCTGTCTGTGTAGCCGATCGGCTTTTCGCAAATGCCTTGCAAAGAGAGACAATCTGGAGCACCGAAGCCGAGGCGTCAGTTCGGAGTACTTCTGGCTGAGGATAGTCCTCCATTCCGTTATATTCCTTTTCAACGTAGAGACGAAAAAGGAACCCAGGTGCTGTCCGCCCCGCCCGACCTTTGCGCTGGTCAGCCTGGGCTTTCGAGACTGGTTGTACTGCGAGTACGTCTGCAAACAAGCCCTCATCTTGCATCATTTTCCTGACTTTGACAACGCCGCTGTCAACGACGTACACAATGTTAGGAATGGTAATACTTGTTTCAGCAATGTTCGTTGCAAATATCACTTTGCGTACACCCGGTCGCAGCTCCTCCGGTAGTGGCTCAATGGCCTGCAATTGGTCGTCCGAAGATAATGATGCGAAGAGAGAACAAACTCTCAACTCTCTGTTTGGCTCCTTGCTGGATTTACCCGACTTGTGTCTCTTTAGGCGTTCCTTCGTAATTGCTATAGCCGACAGAATCTCTTCCTGTCCGGGTAAAAACACCAAGATATCTCCATTCATGGGCTGACCACTATGAATTTGTATAACCGTATCGACAGAGCCGTCAATGTAGTCCGGAACCGGGCTGCACGAGTACATGACTTGAACGTCATGCGTCCGCCCAGCAATTTTCAGGACCGAGACTCTCAGCGACGATTTGTTTCGAAAGAATTCTGCAATCTTGTCCGCGTTTGTAGTCGCCGACATGATCACAACCTTGAAAGCAAGCTTACTCCGAATCATTCTTGCAAACATCTCATTTTTCGCCGCAAAGCCGGTCTGCGGCTTCGCATTCTTCGCAGATTCAGCTAGCAACGTCTCTTTGATCACACCCAATAGAATGTCGGTGTTCATGGCCCGCTCGTGCACCTCATCGATAATAACATGCGAGTAGCGCTTCTTGAGTCCGATCGAGCCCTCCGCGAGCGCCTCCCTGAGCAACACGCCATCGGTGACGTACCGTATGTTCGTTAACCCACGCCGTGATTTGTCCGCAAAGCGAACTGCATAGCCAACCTGCATGCCAAGCTCAACATTTCGCTCCTCGGCCACTCGGGTCGCGACCGTAATTGCAGCAACTCGGCGTGGCTGCGTCACGACAACAGAGGCGGACGAATCTGACTCAACTATTATTTGCGGAATCTGCGTCGTCTTTCCTGAACCGGTCTCGCCGATGACAATGAGGACATCATTCCCGGCCAACTCCGACAAAATTCGGTTCGTTTTTTGACGGACGGGGAGACTCTTCACTTCTTCACTTGGGCGGAACAAAAACTGGTCGGCGCTCCTCTTCCGCTTCATTGGAGACAATAAATCTGCGAACAAACCTTCTCGAGGTAACAGCTGAATGGGTCAGAGCCTGAAGGAGCAAATTTGGTCCTGCACTTTAGGAGGCTGCACGGCCTCCCCCATTTCACACAACTGCGCGAGTTTGAAATAAATCGACGCGCGCTGGGGAAATTGATAAGCCCGAAAAAAGAAAAAATTGATACTGCAGCTCCTTCGGAGAACCTCTGCTAGAAGTTCTTATTGCCAACTATGAACCATCAGCACAGGCACTTTAAGCAATCTTTCGGCGGCGCACCGCCTCGTATCAATGGCCTTCTCCAGCTCATCGAAATCACTGCCATAATTAGTCCTCTGACCAACAGCCCCAAGTTGAACGAAGAACAAACGGCGGTTGGAAAACTCTCCTGGCACGCACGGAGCAAGAACTAGCATTGCTGTTTGGGAATAGAATACGGTGCGAACTTGCTCTACATCTTTAAAAAGTGGGCGCAATGAAGTACGTGTGGCAGGATTTGACTCCTTTCGTTTCAAACACCGATTTTCAACGCTTTGGCAACGTGCCACCAGAGCCTCAGCAGTCTCACTCTTCTCACTTATATCTCCAGAGTTTGGGATATGAGAAGGCTTTGGACTCCTCCAGCGAAAGTAGAACTCGGTATTGTATGCGTGCCTGTTACACTGGAGAGTGAGGAACCTCCTAAGTGCATGGACCAGGATTAAATGGAAAGCTCGTGCAAACTGCAAGGCCTTAAGTAAATTTGAATTGCTTTCCCTCTAGTTCACGTTGTTAAAGTCGTGAGAGATGATAACAACACCTGCCGTTATTCTATGGCAATAAGCAACTATTTGCTTCCAAAAATAAAAAAACGGGAGTCGCAAGGGACCGTATAAACGACTGTGACATCTACTCTTTCATCGTTAAAACTGGACCGACAACAGTTCAAGGACAGTGTCGAAAGCTTTTATTGCCTGGTCTATTCTTCACTACATAATCCTGTCTTTCGATATGTCAGAAGGCAGTAATCAATTTCGCTGTGTTTCGCTAGGTATCGTCGAGACTGGCTTTGCAGCAATAGCGTGAAGATGCGTACAACCGAGCAGAAGATAGTCTCATAAACAGAGCAAAGTAGCGAGACCGATTTTCATACTGGTCTGCGTTAGAGTTCGAATGTGTTTGCACCATGCTTTGAATACTGAACATTCTACACGACATCAAAGACGGCAAGAGGAACTATTGACGGCCGCCCATGTGCACACAAAAAGGGTGAATCACATTCAGAAAGCGACAAAACGAGAGACCTGCATTGCTCTAAGGTCAGCGCATCCCCAAAGCGGACTGCGGAATGGCAAGCCGCACTAGCTACCGCGTTAAGAAAAGGTCGCGGGGTCGTGTTCTCGACTACCCCCATTGCAAGACTGTCTAAATAGATAAGCAGTTGCTCCTCGTTGTCGAGAAAAGTATTCACTCTTTCGATTAAGGGAGCGCCTAAGATCTCGGCAGACCCACAGCCCGCGATTCGCACTTGCCATCCCCAGGACAGAAGCACTGTCGAATGACGCAAGCAAGTCGCCCGTTGCTTGTGCGAAAGCGGTACGCGCTTCGGGGGGCGCAGAATGACAGATCTTATTTTGCGTGGTGATACGTCCTTCAGCAGCGTCTCATATAAATATCTTTCCGAGGCTGCATGCTGATCGACTGCATACATGACAGATTTGTGGTCAACAACTACGATGAATTTGCGATCAACTTGACCAACAATCCGTAGTTTCGGAATACTATTTCGCTGAACAAGAACTCCGCGTTTCATAAACATGAAATGAGTATTGCTCTTAAACTCACATCCTGAAGACGCTATCCTTGATGCGGAAGCCTTATTTCGGTAAACTGGATTGGACCACCCGTGCACAACCTTTTTGCACGCGACCTCAACCTCCTGTGCTGATGAGGGACGGCCAATGCACAACCTCGAGCTTTGTTGTCGTTGTCGCTTGGCGTGGTGGGAAGCCGCGAGAATGCCGGACGCCGCCGACAACGGTCGACGCAGTACTACCTGATTCTCTGCTGACGCCCAAGCTGACGACGGTCTCTTTCTCGGCCGCTTGCAAACAAGGGCATCAGCAAAGCGGCTCTCTATTCTGGAAGATTTGCGCTTCCTTCCCGACGCTAGCCTAGAAATCTGTTCCGGATCAACGTAGGAGTGTCTAGCCATTAGCTGAGGTAGGTCTACAGTTTGCAACGCGCCTCTGACCGCCATGGCGACCTCGTTCTCAGCCTCTGGCGAAGGTGGCGCATTGTTCGAATAGATTGGATGCGCCGCGTCGCAGCCCGAGCCTTTGCTCGCGCTCTTGCAATTCACAACATAGGCAGCGTATCTGAGATTCGCTGCACCCGTATCAGCCCTTCTCAGAGCCACAAAACCTTTCCAGATACGTTGAATGAGGCGATGAATCCACCCCTTTCCATTCATAGGAACTCCATCCACGCTAACTAGACAAATATCCGAGCTACCGTACCCCCGCTTTCCAACGAACCCATCGAACCACAGCTTCTCCCTGCCCTGAATGCGGTTCCATTCCATGTTCCCTTCCACGCCGAACGCTGCCTGTATCAGCTCCTCCGAGAGCTCTTTCCCTCCTCCCCCCTCGTACAACACCAAACTGTTGCCCCCTTGCAGAGTCACCGCCACACGCGGATTCGCTAGCGACAACGCGACAACTCTCTCCCTCGTGGCCTCCGACGCTAAGTTCGGGTGTCTTCCAGTCTCCGCCCTGCGCCTCACAGGCACGTTATAAAACAGCTCCCACACATCCACAAGCACCCCGTCCTTCTCCAAATCCGGATGCGCCGGGACCTCTCCCTCACGTGAGTTCCCCTCGTCAAGAATCTTCCCTCCCCTAAGCAGCTTGACGGCTCGGAATCCCCCCGTGTAGTTGTGCAACTCGAGTGAGGCAACGGCGGTCAGCGAAGCCAGCGACTGGCCGCGGCCGCGTCGCAGAGACGTGCAGCCGGGCTGCAGCGCGAGCGGCCAGTCTTGGGGAGAGAATCCGCGGCCGTCATCCAGCACCTTGAAGCGCAGGGCCTCAGGTGAGATGGTTATGCAGACGGTGCGGGCGCCGTGCTGAAGAGAATTTTGCGCGACGGATGTGACGGCCGATTCGAAGGAGGGCACGATTTGAGACGAGTGAAGGAGCGTGGAGGTGGGGGTAGGGAGACGTCGGATTGACATCGCGGGGCGAGGGGATGCACCGCACTTCAATTAGAGGTGCCCCGGGCGTCCCGTACAAGACGGAGCCATAGTTGAGAGGGATGAAGCGGCAGATGTTGCCATCGGAGACCGGAGAAAGAGGGCAGACCCTCTTGCGATGTTGGCCTTCGCTCGGTACACGTGTCATTTTTGGGCACCAAGATGAAGCATACGGGTCCGCTACACTGTAGCTAATGTTTACCTTCACACGAGACGAGGAGACCTCCCCCTTCGCGCGTGCAAGGCCGTTCGCACCACCAAACACCCCCACATGTAACGCCCATACCCCCCCCTCCCCCTTGCAGTGCCTGCAAGCTTCCAACAGCATCCACTCATGCCAGTCTACCGCCACACCCCCCCGCCTCCCGTCATCGAGGCCTGGCCGGATCACCTCTCGCGCCGTCTCTATCCTTCCTCCAATCGAGCGGAAACGCTCTCCATTGCCGACGACGGGCGCATTGCCATCGGCCTTTCATGCACCGTCACCGTGCTCACACCCAGTCTCATTTCGCGCCTTGTCCCATTGCAGATGGAGACCCGCGTCGAACATATGCCACTCGAGTACGCGCTTCTCGACACCGACGCCCGCGTGGCCCAAGGAATCCGAGCCCCAGCCGTGGGACACCAGGTTGCCTTCGAGCCAGAGTACACAAAGCCGGGGGGTGTCCGAAGGGACACCACGCTGTACAACGGCGAAATATCATTTTTGGCTTGGGCCACCTCGGCCGCTGGCGCCGTTTTGTTCGTCGTCAATGGAGAAGGCAACTGCTTTGCGACAGTGCCCAGATACGCAGGGGAAGGGACGTGGGGAGGAGTGTTCGCGACCTGGCAGTATAGGAGGGTGTTCCCGGATGCAGTTGGGAACACCCGCCCTGCGCCAAAAGGTAAGACCCAGCGGAAGGAAGCTGAAGAAAGAAAAGATGATAGCAATGCTGTCGAAGGCGATTGGGGGCTGGTGCAGGAGGAGAGTGGGCTTAGCGGGCTGTGCAGGCCTCCTACGAGTGGTAGAACAGTTTCTAAGGAGAAGAAAGGGCACATACCACAGAATCAGGTGCGCTGCGTGTCCCTCACTCGAGTGTTCCGGGGCCCTGAAGGTCGCCCATCTGAGCAAGCGGGGACCTCAGAATTTGTGATTCTAGGACGCAAAGATGGCACGTTTGTATTTTCTTTCGGAGGCTGGGAGAGAGCTGACGGCGAGCAGGGGCCGGTGCTGAGCCTGCATAGCGGTTGGAGCGCTAGCTTAGCCTGTCTAGAGGATGTGGAATACGGAGGCAAGTCTATGACACTTGTTGCTGTCGGTGGTGCGTTTGGAGAGCTCATGGTGTACGGGCTCTGGTTCGAGGAGTTTTCGGGCGGTCTTTCCATATTGACGAGCAAAGCCCTGTGGAAGAGTGAACCTTCGCTGCTGTTTGGAACAGTCTCGTCACTGTCGTGGAGCCCCTGCCTGTCATATGGTCAGCTGCGCTTGGCGGTTGCTTCTGGGAACGCTGTAACGGTGTTGGATTGGACTAATGTCCTGCCTGAGACGACTGGTTTTAACCCGTGGGCCATCCCAGATGTTCACCAGATCGCCGATGCCCATGATGGTCTTGTCTCGTCCGTAGCGGTTGTGGTCGATAATTCGTTTCTGTCATCGTCTCTAGATGGAAAGATTTGCAGGTGGGTCGTCGAGCAGTGGGACCAAGGCGAAGCGAAAGAACCTCTTCATGTGGTGCATTGCGGTATCTTGCATTCCGGTCCACCCTCGGAGCCCATCATGGCTATGCAGAGGACTCCGCTGGGTTTCGGAGTTGCTGCCATGACGACGGTGACTCGGTTTGGAATCGAGGTGAACGACCACAACGAAGATGCCAAGCGTAAGTACTGCGCAGGGGCACGGAGATCTTTGTTGAGTATGTACATAAAACCCGCCTTGGAAGGGACGTCGGAAGCCGCGCAGCAGATTCTGGGCAGCGTGGAAGCGCGCGCGACTACTCGGAGGTTTGTCGGTGAGGCTATTGTCATGTGGGAGGTTGAGTTATTCTTGCAGCAATTGCAGGGTGCCCATGCAAGTATCGTGCTCGCAGCCCTGCGTCAGAGGTTTCGCAATATGCTAGGGCACCTCAGAGGCAGATCGATACCGAACCTGTCTCAGGAAAGATTCTATCACTACGTGAGAGTAATAGCATGCCTTTCACGGGTCATTATTCGTGTGAGCGGAGCTGGTGAGGACGACGGCGGATTGATGACTCTGCAACATGGAGAGATTTCAAAGAATGTGCGATGTATTCACTATGACTCATGCATGGCTTCCTTTTTACAAAGCAAGACGCCTGTGAACGCTCTCAGTCTCGATGAGATTCGGGCCCTCGAGAGCATGTGCCACTATGTTGCGAAATGCGATCACGAATTGTTCTGGGACGCAGCTGCAACCTTGGAACGAATTCGCCTTGTGAGAGCGGCCCTTTTTCCGCGCAAGGCATCGATGCCTTTACCGTGCATTGTTTGTGGACCGGACTCGGACGTAGCTCTTAAATCAGATGCACAGAACCCGAATGTATTTCGGTGCTCTATGAACGATTGCTTCGAGCGATGCGTGCTGACCGCATTGCCTTGCACTGATGTCGTCCCCCGGGTTTGCTACGCTTGTGACAGTAAGGCGCTGGTGAAGGATTTTGATCCTTTTGAAGAGAGAGGAAAGGAGTTCCAATGGATTTCGAACGTGGGCAGGTGCCCGATTTGTTTGTGTGTGTTGGTCCCAAGCAGTGTTGAGGCTCACTGATGTGAATTGGGTTAGAGCGCACTGCAAACGCATTAAAAATAGTCATCTCCGTGATTTGGATGGAGCCAAATTGCAGGCCACAACAGATGCAGCTGTAACCCACTTGGGTGTATAAGGTGCAGTTTCAGACTGTTTCCGAAGCGGTGAAAAAGAATACAAGGGCTGGTCTCGAAAAATGTTTGGAAATGGATGAATCCAAAACACAAGATTCGCGCTCGGGAAGAAGGAAGGACAGGAAAATAGGGCACGTCTGTACGATTTACAATCTGTGCGTTCTACTCGCTTGGTTTTGCTCTGCCTAAAAAGTCTTCAATTTCTTCCAGCAATTCCTCTCTGCTATCCTTAAAGAGCACGTATCTCCACACAAACCAGGAAGTATAACCGAGGCCGACCAACTCCAAGGCACCTGGCACGATGGGAAGAGAATCGACTGCAGATACAATGGCGCGCAAGATGGTGATCGTGACAAGCCCTCCAAGGGCGTAGCCGGCGATTTTACCGTAGAAGAACGGGCGGGTTCCGACGTCCGAGACCACACCCATGGCCTTCTCTTTCAAAGCTTCTGTATCGAGCTCGTAGCCTGAATCCAGGTCATAGTCACTCGCTGAGGAAGAGTTCGCCGATGACACAGGCTTTTCGGAAGAGGGGGGTGGCGTGGTGGACATTCGCATGGCGCGGTGGGAGAGCGCGCATGTTTTTTGCGACCGCGTGCGAGTCACAGACAACAAAGGGGACGAGACAAAAGCCATGTTTTTGTGAAGGGTTAGGGATGTAGCAGAGTCGGGGAGAAAGGAGAGGGTAAATGGAAAACGAACACAAAGAGGAGAACTGAAGAAAAGGATGCACCAGGTGAAGGCACAGGCGACAGAGAGGGGAAGAACGGAAGTAAGGCAACCCTGAGCGATAGAACGCGCGCTGATTGGTTGTGATTGCCCTGCGAAGGCGAACGAGGTCATCTCAAGTGGGCGAGCGGCTGCCATTGCTTCATTGCATAGTACACGTGGGCGCCATTTTCTATCTATTTTGCTTCAAAATGCTTTTTGCAACTGTGACGCTCTGCAACGGAGTATCTCCCTCGCGCGGGAATTTTCGGGCGACCATCAACGTCGTCTGGGGTCCTGGAGAGTGGTCACTGAACAGCACTTTCCGTGTGCAGATGGGCACGCCCTGGTTGGTATAGGTGCCCGGGCTCCCCTCACACTAGAGTTGTGTCACGCTTGTTATGACTTGCCCCGCCGCTCGACTTTTCTCCACGCAGGTCTGCTGCAGACTAGGGTTGGATACGCAGTAGATTCAATGTCACTACCCCTTTTCACTTCTTTCACACTGGGACCGCGCACTTGACAGAGATCGCGACAGGATGCATAGATCTCGCTCATGCAGGTCCTCACCTTCCTAATTGACGTATCCAGAGGACGCTCGCGTACTCGCTCTAGTCTTGTTTTTAACAAAACTCTGCAGAATGCAATCGGGTCGAGCGACTCAGTTAAATTCTGCGTCCCCCATCGCATCCACGCATTGCGGCTAATGTTATCGCCTCTAGCAAGCAAACGGCGCTTTCGTCCAACAAAATCGATCCATCATCCGATCGTTTACCATAATGTCTCCTACGCTTCCTTTCCCCATCCCTAAACTCATCTCTGCACGGCCTCCTCTCCCACGATCATCAACCCGCGCGATAGCCAACACCACCTCCTCCCACTCACTTTGCCGGCGCTTCGGCCGCTTCTTTCGCCGGGGCCTCGGGCTCGTCGGCCTTCTTCCCCGTGGGGCGAAGCTTCCACACGGCCAGACCAACGTAAAATCCGAATAGGGACCCCGCGACAATATGGCGGTTGGCGTCTACCCATTCGGCAAACGTCTTATCGCCCGCCCGGTACTCGGCCCATGAAACCTGCGGTTCCTGCGTCGCTAGTCCGCGGCGGGGCGCCGCCTGCATTGGGCGCGGCGCGCCGAGCGTGCGACGCATCGTGAGACGCGAAACTTGCGCGAGTGTCATCGTTGCTGCGTCGAGGGTGGGGCGGGATCGGGTGCAGATGACGGGAGCGCGGAGATGGTCGGGGACGATGCTGAGAGCGCCTTTCCCAGGAGATGGGATGCCGGTATGATGGGTGGGAGCATTGTGCGCCGATTCGTGGACACGTGGCGTATATATTGGCAAGGAATACCGCTAGATTTTGGCGAATAATTGGATTAGTGATCTCATCGTGGCCACAATGCGACTCGGAGAACGGTGTACACGTGTGAAGCTATGCTTGGCGAGCTGGAAGGCACAGTAGTCTTCCGGGAATTGCTCGCCTTGTTCCCCACTTCTTGGCTGGAACGCATCTCATCGCATCCAAGTAGCGAGGCCGCTGAGAAGACTGTCACCATGTCGGGATTCAAGTTGACGAGCGGCTCCGGGCGCTTCGAGCGCGATGCCAACGTGCAGTCCTCAGCCTCGGGCGAGCCGATCCGGCACACGCAGCGCCCGATGGTCACGGGGTCGTCCGTGATCGCGATGCGGTGCGTCGACGGTGTCGTGATCGGAGCTGACACGCTGGCGTCGTACGGCTCGATGGCTCGCTTCCGAAAAATTTCACGTCTGCACAAAGCGACGGACATGTGCGTCGTGGGCGCGGGCGGGGACCTCTCGGACTTCCAGCAGCTCACTACCATGGTGGACAAGGAGACGAACCGGGACTACTGTTTCAACGATGGGCACGGACTCTCGCCGAAGGCCATCCATCAATACGTGGCTCGCGTGATGTACAACCGGAGGAACAAGATGGATCCGTTGTGGAATTACGTGGTGATTGCAGGGATGCAGAACGGCGACGACGGCGAGGAGGCCAAGCCGGTGCTAGGGCTGGTGGACTTGGTGGGCACGCACTTTGAGAGCGAAGTGATCGCAACTGGGTTTGGCGAGTATCTTGGGTTACCGCTGCTGCGCAAGGCGTACAGGGAGGATATCACCGTGGCCGAGGGGAAGAAAGTGGTGGAGCAGATCATGAAGGTTTTGTTCTATCGCGACGCGCGCACGATCGATCGGGTGCAGATTGCGACCGTCACCAAGGACGGAGTGGACATGGGAGAACCGTTCAAGCTCGAGACCGAGTGGAGCTATAAGGCGTTTGTGGATGGCGCGAGAGCGGGCGATATGTCGACGTGGTAGGAGAAGTGGGCGATTTGTATGATACTTACGGGATTGCTACGGATGTTTCGCATCAGGCGGTGTTTGTAAAGCTTGTTGCGTTGTAAATGGAAAGAGCATTTTTGCGCAGGCTGTTTGATGGGCCTCGGACAATCGAAGCCTTTGGGTTGTGCGTGCGGCAGTTCACTTTTCTCCGGGGATGCAGGTGTCCCAAGAACTCGTAAAGCCCTCCCCAATGGAGCTCGATTCATTTCTACATTTAAGATTGGGCATAGCAAACCCCTGAGCAAAAGCTGTACGTGACGAAACGCACCTTTCTCGCCATGAGGTGACCCCTTATCAGAGGAAAAAGGTCGTACACGTGGGCATATCATAAAATAATACCCTGTATGATGTTTTGAGTTTTGACGCGACAGAGGCGCGTTCCGTTACGAAGAAACGTGGGTGTGGGAATGATGAAGAAAAGATCTCTCTTTTTACATCTTTTCGAAAACTTCGACACGTACTGCCCTGTATTTGGACAAATGCCCCTTTTGAAACCGGCAGGCCCCGAGAAAGCCGTTCACTCTCCGGCCCCCCTCACGGCCAGCAGCGGAGCTGCCGGTCCGCCCTCTTCAGCGCATTACGCCTTCCGCCAACCCTTTGTGTACCCCCCCATCACCCAACGGGCGCCCTCTTCGGTGCAAGCCCCGCACCCCTCTTCATGCACCATCGCCCTATAACCATCCCGAACCCCTCCCCACCCTCCCCATTCCACGACACCCTTTGTCGTTTCCCTCACTTCCCCGATCATGTCCTCGTCCTCACAGCACTCCATCACTCCATCAGCCACGCCGCCCTCCTCCCCAGAGATCGACTTCTGCCCGCCACCAATCCTGGTCCGCTCGGCCGAGGTGCGCGCCGCCTTCCTCTCGCTGCACTCGGACTACCGCCCCTCCGACTCCGACAATGACGGCACGCATCCCATCCCCGCGGTCCCCCCCATCCAGCTCCCGCACTCCGTCCGCCCCGCCGTCCCAACAGACGAGGAGTGCGGCCTCCGCCCGCAGCTCGACCTCGCCCTCGAGCAAATCGACCGCGCCTCTAGGCCCGTCGTCTCTGCCTTGCGCAACATGGCCCCCGCCACCGTCCTGCAGGGCTACACCCGCCTCTCCGCGGCTACAGCCTTCGCGCACTACCTCAACGTCCTGCGCGCGCAGGGGCGCGCCCGCGCCGTGCTCCTCGTGTCGCGCACCGTCGCCACGGCCAAGCTGTGGCAGAACGCGCTCTTGCCTGTGCTGGACGATACCCTGGACATTACCGTCACGCAGTTCTTCATGGCGAAGGGGCCGCGCAATCACGCCGTGAAACTCGTGGGCGGGCTGAGGTTCCCGGGGCTTGTTATCGCGTCGGAGAAGGCGTTGCGGGCCCCAGATACGAAGCCCGGTATCGCGATGCTCTCCGACGCCATGGCGGACAACCCGCACTCGATCAAGTGGGACCTCGTCGTGTCGGATGCCGTCGGGAAGGATGACCTAAATGATGTCGTGTCGCCGCTGAGAATGTTGGCAAATAGACAGACGGAACACGCGCTACTTGTTCTGTGCGCGGATGACAAGGTGAAGAAGAAGAGTGCCCCGACGAGAATACTCGTGGAGGACTTTTTGAAAATTTATGGCAGTCGCATTCTCGCGAGAGACGGGGAGCGGCAGATGGCTTGGTACACGCCGAAATCATCAAAGAAAGCGAAGCGGCAAGCTACCAACGACGAGAATGTAGTACCTATTGAAGGGAAGAATCCAAAGGACAAGAGAACGTCAGTACCCATACACAGCGACAACGGAATTAACGACGGCGTTGTGGTCAAGGCTTTTCCGGATCCGATAATCCGTTCGACTCCACTTGGCGCTCTTGCCAAAGCAAAAAAGGAAGCCGCGAATGAAAGCCGACCAGGAGAAAAAGGGATTATGTTCAAAGTTAATAATGAAGATCATATTGGTGCGTATGGATTAGAACCGGAGATGGAACGGGAGCTGGAGCATCTGCGCATCGGTGCTGCTGCGACGATGACAAAGAAACCGAGAACTAGCCGCAACAACTTCCCTTCCGTGAAGAACGTCAATGTGGTACCACCAAAACAGGAGCAGACGACACCAAGAGAGTCTGCCCATGCTGTACCACGCACCTCTGAGGGAAGACATGTCTCTGTCCGCAAGCGCAACCGCGGTCATGTATTTATCAGCGACGAGCTCTTAGAATACTGTACAAACGGCTCCCGACCAGCAAGCGCAGAGAGGCGAAAACGTGCTGGCTGTGCAACATCGGCGCCCAGCATTGACATTGATGACACCGTCATAATCGAGAACAGTGACGGGGAGGAGGAGGTCTTTTACGACGCCTTATCATGGGTGGCTACAAAGCCTCAAGAAGTGACCAATGCCAAGGGACGAGGATCAGCTTCACGGAAGCCGCCTGCACGACGTCGCGCGGAGGGGAGGAAGGAAGTCAGTATGAAACCTGCAAAGCCTCTGCCTAGTCCATCTCATGAAAATGATGATTGCCTCCTTACGTCAGGCCTTCTACCGTCCTCATGTGTCGAGGTTCCAGTTCAACGAAAACCGCGACAACGCCTTTCAGAGGGGAGGAAGTTTGGACTGCAGACTCCCACTAAACGAGGAGCTCGTCCTCATGCAGAAAGAAATGATGTCGATCCCCGCGTTTCTACTGACCGGCGGTTTACCTTGGATGCGAAGAGATCGGGCGCTCTTGAACACCAGAGACAGCGCGATTCGAAGAGAAAGAGAAGAAGCAGAGAAGCTGCTAGCTTTGCACGACCCCAGCAGGCCGGAATTCAGAAATCCAGCTCCGCTCAGAAAATATCGAACGAAACCAACCAGGGTCCCAGCTACACAGTGAAACGGCGAGAAGGAAAGAAAGATAGACGCTCTGCGGGAGGAAGCAATGTTGAAGAGTCGAGGCGGGATTCACGTCGCAACGGGCGCAAGGTTTCGCAGCAGTCTTCTGTGGAACGCTCGAACCAACGGGACGGCCGGAGGTGTCGTGCAGTTTTGAACAGATCCCGAGGTGAAGCTTCTGCTCCGCAGCCACCCCCAACTGCTGACAATGATAGGGTTATAGTATTAGACTCAGGAGAATCCGATGATGGAAGCAGAAAACATGGGCAAGACGGAATTTTTGTCATAGGCGATGACGATGACCCTCAAAGACATAGCAGAAGAGGGCCTACCACCAAACGGAATAGACATATGATGAGGCATTCACCAAAAACCTCTGGAGAACCAGCGCAGCCGGCAAAGAGCCCCAGATCAAGGCGAGGGAACACACACAATTCATCGGCCTCTGTTGCGCATACGATTCAGGACGATATTAATTCAATTTCTCCTGAGGACAGGCGCAAATACAATGAACTAATCTCGCGTGCAAGAAAAGAGGAAGGTAAGGGACCAGAAGGCTTTTCAAAGGCACTTCGACTTTACCTTCAGGGCATGGATATTTACGAAGGTGATTGTTTTCTGACAACTCGCATTTTAGCACTCTCATCAGCAAAACGTGCCCGGAAGTCTGACGATTCCTCACCCTGGGACCGACCCGTGACGAGGTCACCCATAGCAAAGAAGGGCAATGGTCTCCGCGCCCAGCAGAAGCGTGGAAAGAGACCGGGGAAAGGGGCAAAAAAAGTAGCCAGACCAGCTGCAGCAGGGCGTAGCTCCAACGTATCACAGAGCGTTATAGTTATAGATGATTGACCCGCTGTCCTTATTCGTTCACTATAACAAACTCCTGCGGACAGACTTGAGGGCAATTTCCGCTGACCACAACACATTTATGTGCGCTTCCTTCTGATCCACTACTTTTGCCAACGCTTTTTCGGACGTCGCACTGGGAATCTTGCCAAGGGCTTCGCAGACGCATTGCGCCACTGTGAAGTCAGCAGCGTCAAGATAGCTGGCAATATCTATCACGCATCTGGGATCCCGCACTTCACCCAATGCTCCAATACATGCGACAACAAGAGCGGGTTCCGTAGATTTTGCCGCTCTCAAAACTGTCAGTAGATCATCAAACACAAGGGAGCCTATCTGCGGATTTCTCTCAACTATAATTCCAATGGCATCAGCTGAAGATGAGCGAGTGCTCCAGTGTGTGTCCGGGTTTCTAAGTAGCGACAAACAAAGCGGGACTGCATTTGAGTCCCCCAAATAGCCCAAAGCCGCTACAGCATTTGCGCGCACTTCATCCATTTCCCTATCCGACTCGACAAGACCGGTGAGCAGTTGAAAACTCCTCGCGTTCGGTTTGTACCCCAGAAACAGTGCCGCGAAGCCGCGGTTCTGCAACTCCTTCTCCCCGCTATCGAAAACCTTTGTCAAAATTGGTGCCGCCCTCTCTGGCGACAGGTTCCTGCATCCCAGCACTGCGCGCAGGCGCACCGTGGCATCACCTTCCACGACGTCTCGAAGCCATTGGTCGACCATTTCTTGAGACACCGGCTGCACAGAGGCGGCAAAAGGGGGTAGGCCGTTTCGGCGCGAAACGTCTTCACTCGAGACGTCGAGTGGCGAGGACGGGGGCTGGCCCGCCATTCTGATAGCCTGATTCGGTGAGGGGCCTGTCCTCGGGCACCGTCTATGCCGTGCGCCTGCCGTCCGGTTCTGGACGCACCTAGGACCAAGGATTCTCGCGAGACCTGGTAGAGTGGCTGGGGAGAGAAAGCATGTCGTCATCATGGTTAGATGCGTTTCTTTATGTCGCCCATCCGGGCTGGGGGATTTTTCCATCTCGACAAGCTACGTTGACTAGGCTAGTTCCGCTCTGGGTGTTGGACTGTGTTGTTCGGACGACTGGAGGTTTTTATCAGTTATTGCCTGTGAAGACAGCAGTACGCTTCAGTAGGCAACGAAAAGTGGAGCTTCCCATATGGGAAGCTCTACTTTCCGTTGTGTACCCTTATCCTTCCCTTATCGTGTTCAAGTCGTGTAGCTGTGGACAGCAACACGATAAGCGACCGCTGACGGAAGCAATTGTGGCTACAAAAGGAAGGGTAGATTTTGGTTGACGAAAAAGAGCCCTCCATGTCACCGAAGATCTAAATCATGGGGGGTCACTGACACGTTGTGCACGTGCCACTACCATGCAGTGTACGATGCAGTCCCTGATGCTGACATCACGCTTTTTGTCATCAGTAATAGCATTGTATTGTAGAGATCACAGCTTTTACCATCGAACCACGGGATACAGTACATTGACTACCTTTTCCTAAACTGACGTCAGATAAATTGCCTCTAGAGCTACGGCAGGCACTACAATATTCCAACCAGCCCCCTTATTTACTGATTCATGATGGATCATTAGGGTAAAATCTGACCTTGGCCGTACTGAAAATCGGGCGGGTACGGTAAGGGTGGGTGCCCAAAGCCAAGGACGGGAGCGCTCTCTGTTTCAATGGATGCAATGAGGAGGTGATCCTCTAGAAATAGTATTGCACAGTACAGCACTGTAAAGTGTGGGTGGGTGGGTGACTTTGAAGT